TTAATTTAAGGACTTAGTGAAGGCTTCTATTACTTGCTTATCAAATCTAAGCTCCTTCTAAAGCCTTGTGAACACTTAGTGTTTCCCTATATGTTTTTAAGCCTCATTTTCAGCCCTCTTGTTCTTCCAATAAGTTTCTCACCTTTTTACCACCATCTAACTAGGATGACTCTATTTTTCTTTTCCTGCCAGTCCTTGTTCTTAACTATGAAAATCTGGCTTAGAACTCAAGGAATAGCCCTTGATAATCAAATTCTGCCTGATTCTGTTTTCTCTTAGGCTTTTTGTTCTTTCAGCACTTATGTACTCAGTTTGTATTATATCAGTTTGCACTTGTTAATTGTGTTGCTCTGTAAAAGCGTTCCTCAGTTATTTCATGTGTATGTAATTCTGTTTCTTGACCTAGATTGTAAGCTCTTTGGGAGCAGGGACCACGTCTTCTACTTTTCTTTCTTTCTTTTTTTTTTTTTTTGTATTCCCTGGACAGTGCCCAGTACAGTGCTCTGCACATAGTAGGTGCTCAATAAATGTTGTTGACTGACTGACCAGCTAGAGTGTGTTTAAATAATAGCTAGTTCACTAAGTTACTTACCTACAACCTATTGTTAATCTTGTTTTATTTCCGAAAGTTGATTTTATGTGATTTCGATTTTTTTAAAAAAATTGCATGTTATTCCATATAAAGTGTAAGATTTATTTTTTGTTTTTATTTTTTAAGAAATGCAAACAGATCGCACAAAGTAAAGAAGATGATGATGTAATAGTGAATAAGCCTCATGTTTCGGACGAAGAGGAAGAAGAACCTCCTTTTTATCATCATCCCTTTAAACTCAGTGAACCCAAACCCATTTTTTTCAATCTGAATGTGAGTATTAGTATTTATGGTTTGATGAAACAGCATAGGGACTATTTAAATAAAACTCAAATGGAATTTAATGTTTTAATTTTTGGATTACCATGAGAAATAATGAACAAAACTATTTTCAGATTATGTTGAAAGTCTTTGGAGTTTTAATTAAGGAAATACATTATTTTTTAGATTGCTGCAGCAAAGCCAACTCCACCAAAAAGCCAGGTAACGTTAACAAAAGAGTTTCCTGTGTCATCTGGATCTCAACATCGAAAAAAAGAAGCAGATAGTGTTTATGGAGAATGGGTTCCTGTAGAGAAAAATGGTGAAGAAAACAAAGATGATGATAATGTTTTCAGCAGCAATTTGCCCTCTGAGGTAAGTAAGAGGAATATTGTGTTTTTTGTTTTTTAATACCTGAATCTCCCATTTTATTGTTACTTTATATCTGATTTGGATTCTGTTTCACTCTTCTTAGGGCCGGGTTAAACGGCAGGGCCGGGTTAGACGACAGATGAAACAACCCGCAGCTTCTCATTTGACAGTAACTCGATGCAATTCACTTTGTGGAACCAAGCCACAAAGTGAAAAGCATCGAATTGCAGAGAACAGTGTTATCACATCCCTACCCAACATTGGGCCCTCCTTGCACTTATGGGAAGGTAGCCCAAGGTACAACTATTTAGCTTCCCGTTTTGCTTCAAGGCTCTATAGCTCTAGATTTTGGTGGTAGCAAATTTACTGGGTGGAGGGATTGAGCAGAGAGAGGCAGATCCTCAGGTTCAACACAAGAACTGGATTGGAAAAGGTCATTGTAGGCTAATGTGTGAGCATCTTGGATACATAGCCCATTGCCCTTAAATAATGGTTTCTCTGGGTGGTTTGTCAGATAGCCTTTAATTTTAATCATTTTCCCTTCCCTGTGCTACCTTGGCCCTTTGGAATTCTTGTGTTTAACCTAATGCTCAGCCTTGGTACTTCCATTTCCCTTCTCCTTCCCCTCTTTGCTACTATTAAAAGTTGGAGAAGTGGAATTCACACCTTGAAATTTCCATGAGGCTATAGTTGTATCTTGTCAAAATGACGCAGTAATAATGCCAAGTGTCAAAACAACCCCATTAAAATGCTGCCTGATTAAATAATGTGCTGCTAAGTATAGTGCACATGAAAACAGCAAGACTGTATATATATGTAAATATATATATATATATCTGTATCTTTGTATGTATCTCTGTATCTGTACCTTTGCTGTATCTTTTAATAAACAGTTTACTTTTATTTAACTTGTTGTGCAAAATCACGCTTGGGGGATCTGGGAGGGTGGAGAATTATTAGGGGCGGGGGTGGGAGTTTTGACTGATACTATAGACTAGTTATCACCTCTTGCCCTTGGTTCCAAAGCTCAGACATTTGTCCAAGGACTGGACTAGATAATATGAGGCCCTTACAATGTGGGACTCCTTCCCCACTTCTTTTCTTGCAGTTCTGGGATACATGGGTCAGAGAGACCTGTTCTCTCCAACTCAGATTCCCTTCATTGGCCATATCATCTTAAACTAAACACCTCCATTATTACAATAAACAAATCCTGTTGTTTATAAAATCAGAAAGTGAACAGAACCCAAATCAGAAATCTTTTGATAGTATATTTTTTCCCCTGAGCTATTCACAGGTGACATTTTCACAGTTTTTTTTGACCTGTGGCATTTTAAGAGAGAGCAAGTTCTGTATGATGAAGCCGGACATGATAATTAGCTAGTGCAACTTACAGTCCCCAGTGATGATTTATGTTTACATGGAATTCAGCAGTTGAAGCAAGTTATACTATCACCAGTGAGGAAGGGATAGTTGGTTTGGACATTATTTTAATAAAACCAGTTGAGTAGCTCAGTTGCTAATCCCCAAATCAGGCTACCTGCACATCTCAAGAGGGAAGGGTTAACTGACATTTGCAATTGACTTAAATCTTGTAGTAGCTGAATATAGATCATGATAAGAGGGCCAAACAGACTTACTTAGAAATTCTGATACATACGCTTTTAGTAATTTGCAGATTAAGCATTTAACAGAGTAGGGAAAGACATACGGAGATTATTTATGTGAGAAAACATTTCCAGCCGAGAATATTGAAAAATTCCAAGGGATTATCCTGAGAAAATAAGTGCTCATAACTATTTTAACCTTAGTTGAACATGGGGAAAGTGCTTAGTGAATCCTGATGAATGTTTCTTTTTGATTGAGACTTTATGTATATATATTTATTTATATATTTGAAGTTTAGTACTCTGCCATTTTCAGTCTTAACACTGACAGTGTGGTGCCTTAGCCTTGTCTGTCATCAAAAGCGGTTGTCAGATTTTAAAAGTTGGGGGGAATTATTCCAAAGAAATCCCAGGGGGAAAAGTTGGGTATTCAAATTTTATATTAAGCAGTCTTTCATGAAAGCAGGAAAAAGAGTTCAGAGGGCTAAAGAAAAGCGGATTTCTCCTATGGGAGGGTATATACAAGTATTTGATATCAGAATGCTTTGAGCTAGTTTCGTAGACGATCAGACTGAAAAAATATGTAGGTTAACTTTAAGCAGAAACAAATCCCAAAATTTTAGAAGAGGAAAAAGGGTAGGGTTTTGTTTTGCTTTTTAGGTCTCTCTACTTTTACCCAACAATAGTAGTAAACACCTTGAAGAAATGGTCACAGTATAAAATGTTTAGTTCTAGTTATTTAGCTGTATCTTGCAAATACATTTGTAAGATTATGTTCTGTATACCAATGTTTGTGGAATACTATTGGTGACATTTTATGGGAGCATTGACCCTTTTGATTCCCTGTGAGGAGTTGAAATAAAGGCTTTTATAGAGTAAAAGGAAAGTTCTTTCAAATGGTCACTGTTAAGTATTTTTTTTTTAACTTATCAATCATCTTCATTTTAATAAATATAAATGGAGTTTGTGGTTTTTTAGTTTTAAGCATAAAACATTTAAGCAAAGATCACAGATTTGATCTCAGCTTTGCTGTAATTCTTAACCCCACTAATTGTCTTGCACATGAGTGCTCTTTGACATAAGCATGAGTGGATAGATGTGGATGGATCAACATAAATCCGTATCTTATGGAATATCAGCTCATCAGACTGTGCCTTACTGCCATAGCATCGTCTTCCTACCCAGAAGCCAGCCAGCAGCATCCTCAGTAAGGAGTGACTACAGAACTTTGACCATATTTGTGTGAATCTGATTCATAAACAGTGAAATCAAAAATGTTGGAAAACTAATATTTAAAAAATTGTCCTTGGGGGCACTCATTCTTGGTAATCAAGTTAGAGGCTTATTGGGCAGAAGATTTAAATGTAATCTTTGACATAAAATTTCCTTGGGTTTACTATTAATCATAAATGTTTAGAGGTCCAGAGGTAGGCAGTATGCCTGGTTTGTTTTATTGAAAAATATTTCCACATTCCAGTGGAGCTACAGTTCTCTTAAGTGTAGAAGTTTTAAATTTATAGTTTAGGAAAGCTCAGTGCTTGGGGTAAGATGTAAATTTTAATTGAAAATTAATCACACGGGTCCTGGCAGTGTAGAATGGTTAAATACAGCCTTGTTATTCATTCTTCCCTTAAATTTTCCTCGGTGATTAACACTGAATTTCTTTGAACCATTTAGTAGGTTATCTATTTGTTTTGTTATTGTAGTTTATTTAGATTAAATGTATAAGAGTTATACTAGAGAAGTCTATATGATGTAATAAAAAGATTCATAATTCATGGTTTAAAAACCAACACATGACAACTGAGATATTCTGTTTTTGTGGTTTTTGTAGTTGTGCTCTTTTCTATATGAACCTCTTTGTAACTTGTTAATTTTTGCTAAGTATTTTAAAATCCTATTTTACATACAGGTCAGATGCATTTTCTTAGTCCATGTTCTTACAATTAAAAGTTTCCTTTTATACTGTCTTTTAAGATACCTGCAATTATCTTTGTAGAAAATAATTTTCATATTACAGGGCTTATTTTCCTTATCTGACTGACCCCTTCCTAATAATTCTTTTTAGCCTTTTTTTATCCTTCCATTGACTTTCTAAGAAATACCTAAGGTAATTGTTATATTTATGTAAATAGTTGGGTTGACAAAAGGGGGAAGTAAATGATACAGGATTTTTTTTTTTTTGACGAAGGGTTTTTTAAATGAGGAAGATACAGAAGGTACACAGTTATAACTTGGGTTATGAAATGCATGTTACATTATGGATTTCATTATTCCTGACACTTTCAGATTACGGAAGAAGTGATCTGCTGTGTTGCTGTAGTAGAGAGATGAAATAACTTGGATAGGTTTTTATTAGTATGAGAACTGGAATTATAATTCAGAATACTCTTTTATGTAGATTTTACTTCTTAGAATAAGTCCTAGCCTAAAGGAATTAAACATTTCCCCCCATTATAATACTTAAAATATTACTATAGTATCATAATTAGACTTAGAAAATCTGTAGTCTATGGGGAAACAAGGCTTGTTGATGACAACTTGACAGTAGTAGTCTATGAGATTTAAGATTTCCCCCCCTCGTTTTTAGAAGGGCTTTCTAAAAAGCATGACTTCGGTACCTTTCCCATATTCCTATTTCTGAGGAACGTTAAAAGATGGTTAAGGCTCTAAAGTTCACTGTGTAGTATAATCCACTGTATACATATACACATAACACGCACACCATGTAGTCCAATGTCGTAGTCACTGGCCACTGAAAAATCAGTTCCTTAATTGCCCTAGCCACATTTCAAATGCCCTTTAGCTGTCATTGTAGAGAATAATACTGGCCAGTGTTCTAAAGAATAGCTCTGGTATTTTATGAGAATTTTAATACTGATATGTAACATTTGGTCTAGTCCTTGAGTATTAAGGCTTTGGGGATTATATTTGGCTTTTTGTGCATTATTGCATATCTTGAATTACCTTGAAAACCTGGAAACATGCTTTTTGATTCAAACTCTTGAGGATCCTTAAGAGGTTAAGATAATCCTGGTTCATTTTATTTTGAGTATATTTCTTCACATTTAAAAATACGAATATAAAATTAATTACTGTCTGGTAATAAGGTTTTGACATGAACTTGCAGTTCACTTGGTAAGCCTGTTGAAAAAATGAAATTGTGTTACTTCAGGAAAAAAATAGTTGTAATTTTATCTAAAGTAAATTTATATTAAACATCAAGGTTGTTATATTAAAATTTCTTTCAGCTTGAGATGTGAATTTAACAAAGTATTACTGAGATTGGAATGAAGTTTCATCCTGGGGATAAATGACGAGAGCTTTAGGTTATCTGCTTAGTCAGTAAAGACTTAAAAAAGTATGAAGAAATGTTTTCAGAAGGAGGGATTCAAAGATAGGTGTATTGATTTGCTTTCCACTTGGGAAGAATTTTATTCTGGAAAAGTTGGGAGCTTTCAGAGCCATCTTAACTACATTTTCATGGCTAAATTCATAGTTGGGAAATTGGGAATTAGGGCCTGGGGTGGTGGGTAGATAGATTTTCCTCATTATCTCCTATAAGCTTAGACTTTCTGGAATAAAAACCCATTTATACCTAAACATCCTCAAACACTTATAGACTGCTACCCAAAGTAGTTTGGGCAAGGTTAATGAACAGTATTTGAGATGATTTTGGTGGACCTTCAGATTACATAGATAATCCCACCTAACAGTTTTAGGAAACATCTAAGGCCAAAGGAATGTAAATTTCGGCCTGAAATATCTGGGTTCCCATTTAAAGTGCTAGCAGTTGATCAGAATTATAATAGAAGTAAAAAGTGAAGACACTAAAGTTTTTAGTGTTTAATTGTGACTTTTCTTAGATTATTTTTATAGGCCCCAGATATATTCTAATTAGTATGGATAATTTACTGTATTAACTAAGAAATTAAGATCTTTCATTCATGAGATCTATAAACCGTACAATTACAGAATGAGTTCGATTCATTTTACTTTCGTTTTGAGAAGGTAATACGTAAGAATCTGTGTGGAAGAAAAAATTTAATTTTGTTAGAAGAATATTATGAGATGATTCAGCAAGATAACTAAGAATGATAGAAGAATAAGGGGTTCTGAAGGTAGGAAAAGGAAGATCAGTAATTCTTATGCATGAGATAGAATTACTCTCAAGTGGTCACATACCCTTCTCTACTATATAGGTCTTTATTTTAGAAGAAGTATTTCATATGCAGTACACAGTTAAATTACAGATAGCCTTTACTTAGCTTTTTAAGAAAAATCCTTAGCTGTTAACTTATCTTCCTGACTTTCTTATGTTTGTCTTATCCAAGCAGTACCCATTAATCATTCTTTGTAAATAAATATAGGAAAACCTTCCCATGTCAAATAAACATTTTCCAAAAATGAATTTTCTTGGGTGCAATCACTGGGAAATACTAATGGGTTAAGTTGTGTCAGAAGAAAAGTATTAAGAATTGGTAAGTTGATATAAGTCAACATGAGCTCTTAACATTAGACAAAAGAACATCAAATACTTGATTTTCCTTTTATGGTTGAGCCTTCCACAAAACTGATAACATTGGGAATTTGTTCTAAAGATTACCTTTAAGAATTTTCCTGGGACATTATGAAGCATTTCAAAAAGTTAAACCATAAAGTCACCTCTGCTTAACACAAGTTTTTATAGGTAGGGTATGAGCTTTGAAAAGGAAGACCTAAGTCTATTCAGACATACCTCATTTTAAGTATTTTTGTTCATGTTGTTCTGTACCCCCACAGAACTATTTTAATTTGGGTCATTGATACATATAAACTGAAAACAAAAAATCATTTATTTAATATTTTTTGAAGAAGTGGAGTTCTTAAGACCAAATTATCCCTGAGCATCTGCAAGAAGGTGGAAAGATGTGTGGATGAGTGAAGGAGAGGCCACTGATAGGATAGTGGTTTTCTGCTTGCTTATTCAAGAACCTTGCTTATTACTTCTGAATGTTATGCTAATAAGTAAGGTAAAATGAAAACTGCTAATGCATATAACAGTTCAAAAATAGTTCAAAATTTCTCAGTTTCTTGTAAATGACTTGTTAGTGAAAGCTAGAGAGTTTTAAGTTCTTTGCAGGTTTCTATGATTGTAATTTGATAAAGTAGAAAATATGAAATCGCATTTTGGGTTGAGTTCAACTGCCTCTGATACTTTGTAACTTACCTTAAATCCTCGTCTACTTTCCAAGGTTCCTTTACTTTTTGGCATCTTCTCTGTACTTTTCAAGATTATTGATTTGTAAGACTATTTTATTTTTGACATGCAGCAGCTAAAGATAAGAGCACTTTTTAGAATTTAGGGGGTCTATCGTAAGTTGAGATAATTATCTATGTTTTCTTTCTTAGCCTGTGGACATCTCAACAGCAATGAGTGAGCGGGCACTTGCTCAGAAAAGACTCAGTGAGAATGCATTTGACCTTGAAGCCATGAGCATGTTAAATCGAGCTCAGGAACGGGTATGTAGCAGTTCTAATGTCTGAGTGAGAATTTAATTAGATAGTTGTGAGATAAGCTAAGTCTGTGGCATGCTGTTGAAATGTTAAAAATCCAAGGAAATAATTTGGCATTATTAGCTTATTTTAAATGGAAGTGATTTGGGGCATGATCATTCATTTAGTAAGTATTTATTGTGTGCTGTGTGGCAGGAACTGTTTAGGAAAGTAAAATAGAGAAAATTCCCTGCCCTTACAGAGTTCCTAAGTTGGTGTCTAAAAGTAGCTATGTACCCATAGTAGCCCTGTGAGATGTGGGTACTATTATGATTTCCCAGTTTCCAGTGGAGGAAAACTGGTTGGTCAACTTGAAATGAAGATGATGCTGTATGTTAACTATACTGGAATTAAAAGTTAAAAAAAAAAAAAAGTGATTAGGCAGTCTGAGTCCAGAGTCTGTATTTTTAACAGTGCAAGTTTTTCCATTTGTCTTCTACATTCCTTTGGTAGATCTGTATAGAAACAGTAAATACACTTTAAGACAGATAAGGAAATACTACTGCCTGACAATACCAGTGTGTAGTAAATCTGTGGAGGACCGACAACTGATTCTTTAACCATCATAGTAAATGATGGTGATTAACGTGCTCAGTTTTAAAAAACTGTTTTATGTGTTTGAACAATTTCCTGTATTTATTACTCCTTAAACATGTCTCTTGAATTTATTTTGGATTTCTAATACCACAAAGAAGGTAGTTAAAAACTCAGGTGATTATGACATTTATATACGTACATAAGCAGAGGGTGGGGATCCTTTGCTGTATGAGCTCTTTTCTGTGTTCATGTATCCATGTGATACTTTGAAGAATGAGTATTATAGTTATACTTTTTAGTTGTTAGAAATACATCTCAAATCTTGTTATTAATGGGACCCACTGAATGTTACCAAAGTGCTTCTTTGGAGTGTTTAAGAAAACAATTTTAAATATGTTATAAATTCAGCATACTGTTTTAAAAGTTGAAGTTTTAAGTCTTACTTAGCCTTTTCAAGAACAAAATAAACCATTTCGTGTGGTGAAATAAACCAGTGGGATTTTGATTAGATAATTTTACATAGTTAATTGAGGCATCTTTTTTTCCTTCAGATTGATGCCTGGGCTCAGCTGAACTCCATTCCTGGTCAGTTCACCGGAAGTACGGGAGTACAGGTTCTAACACAAGAACAGTTGGCTAATACTGGTGCCCAAGCCTGGATTAAAAAGGTACACAACATCTGCACTTATGAAAGTGGCCAAGTACAAAGTTAAGATTTTTTTTTTTTAGAAAATGTTTTATTAAAAATGCACGAAGAGGCCAGTGACTTTAACCAAAGTTCATGAGTAGATTTGCTATGTGTGTATACTCTAGGATGGACACTGAAGATGGACCTGATTTGTGAGACTGGCAAATGTATAAATATGGCTTAAGAGCCGCTCCGTTTATATCCTCAAGTTACTTCTGTATTGCTGCTGCTGGTTTTTTGGGGGTGGTTTTTTAAAACTGTTTTGAATGCTAACAGTGTATCTCAGGTGCTGTTCAGAATGTTCCACAGTTCCTGTTGGACTACTAATCTAATGATTTCAAAGCAGTGGTTCTCAAATTTTTTCTCATCATGGGATACTTTGTTACAGGTTTATTTTTGGTGGATCACTGCCCCCAAGAGCCCTCTTACCATCCCAGTTTTTCCATTTCTCTATTCCTCTGTCCTTCTTTCCCCTTCCTTAGTGCCTGTGCCCTCTTGTAAGCTCTCTTGGCCCTTATTCCTCACCCCTCTGGTGACCTCCAGCCCCTGATCCCTATGGTTGTCAGCTGCCGGTTACAGCAAGTTGGTTGGGAGGCCCCAGTATTAGCACTGCATGTGGTGATTTTGCCATGGGACTGGAAGGCTGGGGAGGAGGAGGGCTGGAGTGTGTGTGTGTGGGGGGGGGGGGGCAGTGCTGAAGGGGTGGTGAAGGGGGGGCGGGGTGGGGACGGAGGATACTATCTGTGGACCACCATTTAGGCCCTGGTGGCCTCTGGTGATCCACAGGCTCAATTTGAGAACCACTGATCTCATGAACAAAACAGGATAAAATAAGACCTAAATTCAAGGGAGAGGAGAGGACGGACGCCTCGTGATGTGAAGATGTAGGTGCTCCTGGTTTCAGATTCCTGCAGTGAGACCTGTGAACTCCACCTACGGCTGCCTCATTGTTGGGGGAGTCTTAGGTGGTTAAGAAGGGCTTTCTAAAGAAATGCCTGCTGGTGAAGGGATGTGGTTTGGTTGGATGGGTGATGGGAAATTTGTTTCAGGAGTACTGGCAGCATGGCAGTGCTGAAACTGGGAGGCTGCGTGGTCTAAAGGATTGGGAAGGTTTCTTTATCCCGCTGTACTCCTGACTGCTTTTGTGATCATGGGCAAGTAATTACTTGGAATTTCAGTCTCCAAGTGTCATGAGAAGACAAGTCCTTATTACTGCTTCACAGGGTGGTAATTAATAGCGTGACGGGCACCTATGAAGAATTGCAGTGATTCCCGGGGAATGAACTGAATTTCGGCAAAATGAGATTTTGGTTGCTTCGGCTCTTTTAATCTCATAATATTTCAATTTTGATAGCATTATCTCTAATGACCCTCTTATTAACAAATTAATATAAGACATGGTATCCTCAGTTTGCCTGCCATTTTTTGGGGGGGGAGATAGTTGCACTAATAGGTGTATAGTGAGTATATGGTCAGATTTATGAAAAATTTACAACTTTTACTAGGTAATTGTAAATTGCAATTTACTAGGGATTGGTGTTAGAAAAAATGAAAATCTAGCAAAATATTTTTAAGTTTTGAGTTCATTTTGGACTTAACTATATTACAGTGTTTAAAAATATAGTGATTTGTGTAGAATTTGAAAATGGCTCTCATTGGGAAGAATTATAATTATACACCTTTTGAATAGTTTTAATTGTTTAATACTATTTAATCTTGAAGCTTGAGTGCTCAATATTTCAGAAAGTTAGACTTGAAGCTTATGTGGGTGGTAAGGCACATAAAAATTAAATAGTCTTGAACACTATTAGGTAGAAACTTCTGAATGCTATTCCATTGCAGAATTTTGGACTTCATTTGTATAATGAAGTACTGATCCATGATGCTTATATAGTTCTAAAAATCATGTTAACATAACTTGCAAAAATGAATCTCTTAATGATTAAATTGGCTTCCTGCAAACTTTCCCTTAAATTTTTTTTTGACTTCCAGTCTTGTAGGCAGTTGACAGGTTTTAAATAGTTTACATCATGTTAAATGTTATGTAAGTCATTTCGATAAATGATATGTGTTCATCAGAGTTTTTAAAATAATAATAAGAAAGCTGTGCTTTCAGAAAAACTCCCATTTATATGTTTACAGAAGAACATTTGTTACTGATACGAAGGAAGGAACATTTATAAAAATGTGGAAAAGTCCTTAGCTGAAAATTTAGCATTTATCTTCACTGTCAAATACCACAAAATGTTTATTGCGTTTAGCAAACTTTTTCAATGATGATATAGCTTTTCTTGCCTTGCTATATATAGCCCAACACCCTCTTCTTTGCTAAAAACCCCCTGGAATGCCAACATTCTCCGTATTCTTTTTAGTTTGTTGTAGTATATTCTTAGATGAAAAAGAATGAGAGTTTTACCGTTACTACTCTTTGTCAGTAAAACATTTTTAACTGGTAATTGATTTAAAAGAACCTTTATTTTTTGGAATTAAATGATTTGGACATGACCCGATGGGTTTTGTTTACTATTAATAGTTTCATTAGATTAAGCAGCTTTTTGGTGAACTGTATACACACGGGGGTTAAAGAAACATGAAGATAGTAGAGAATGGAAACCGAGTTGGAAGCCTGGGTTATTTGGGAATTTGCGTTATACTCTGCACAGTTGCCCTTTTTTTTAGGAGTGTTGCCTGGAAAAGAGGGGCGGATGAACCTGGAAGTAAGTAAAAGTCACTGTAGGTGTGTAGCAACAAGGCAGTTGATATCCAAGCATCAGCTAACTTTTCTCTTTATACATCAACACTGCATGGCCTGCACCAAATAAGGAACTGAACCAGGGGTATGTTTTTACCTCCACAGCTGCCTCCTTCCATCAGAGCACCTTGTTGAACTTAATGTCTAGTCACACATCATTGGCATGCTTTCTCCCCAGCATATAATTTACAAAGCTGGGGGAAAAAAAAAATAAGATACAGTTTTACTAAACTGTGTAAAAACAAGATTTAAAAAATTTAGTATTAACTTATCAATACAGGAAACAGTGCATACTCTTTCCAGAGCTACCAAAAGTTTTGACTCCCTCTGTTGATAAGTTAATGACTTTTACTATATATTTGCTAGAGAACGTAACTCAAAAATTTAATAACAAGGGGAGGTAAAGCAGGATTTGGAGATGTTACAAATTAAAAAAAAAAAAGACCATAAAAATCAACAGTGGAATTTGTTTTGTGGACATGGATGTCCTTTAAAATAGAGGCATTGCCTATTTATTTATTAATGTATGAAAATGACTGTTGACCATGCTAATGTATATAGTTGTGCATCTTATGACATTAAGTGGTTTGCTGCTTTGATGGAAATTATGGTTCAGTGGGTTGGATACAAGAGAGATGACTGTTCACAGAATAACCTGTGAACTTTCACCCCTCTGTATGGAAACTTGTTTCAGGGCCAAATCCTTGTAGCTGTCTTCTTGCCCCGGTCAGTGCCAGCCCTACTATTCACAACACTGCTGCCACCGAGGCCTAGGTATGTAAACGCTTAAGGAGTTTTTTACA